GATGGAAAAGGAAAATAGATATCATGAACATACAAATAAAACACATATTAACCCTCTAGATCCAGTTTAGGTAACCATCACGTCATGAATAAATTTGGGCAAGGGCCAGCTTACAGAAATATGCTGTCATGAAAGACTTGGTATAAGGTGATAGGAATGACCCATCCTGAGTGGTATAAGGTGATGCGAATGACTCATCCTGAGTGCATAAAGTTCTTGGAGGAAGATTAGACTTGTTGGGCATTCAGGAAGGGGCTCTTGCATTGTTTCCACCAGTAAACGAGTGTGGAATATAACATCAGTGAGCCATGGCTAGAAGAGCACTGGCTCCAGGGAAGACACTATTTCTACGTTCAGGATCCTATTCCTGCTGTCTGTGATGGGCAACTTAGATTATTACAGAAAATTAGATAATACAAATATATTTCAGAAATAACATCAGAAATCAGTCTCTTATCTTGAAACAGCATATCAAATAACAATTATAGATCTTAGAAAATGGCCAAAAAGTAAAAAAATACTTATGCAGAACAAGAAATAATAGAATTGCAAAGGGGAAGCAAGGAGTCTTGATGCCACAGATGTGTGTTCATATAGGTCAGGCTACAAGCCACACACCCAAGAGAGCTGCCATTCAAGTAAGCCTAATGCCTTGATTTCTGGCCACATGTTGGACTCCAAGACACATGAATAAGCAATAGGATATGTAAGTAGAAGTACAAATAGTAAAAAGACAATAATATACTAGGAAGTAACTGGTATGAATAGCATGGTATGTGTAGGGAAAATGAGGGCAAGGAAAAGATGGGGGTGTTAGCAGCATGAATTATGCCACACACTACCAGGATTACTTCACAGACACTACATTCCATTTACAAGAAGAAAGAGGCAGGCAACATTACGGTTTGATGAGCTCTAGGAGAGAAGAGTATACAAAGGGAACTGGAAGAGTGGAGATGATATCCTGAGTGTGGCTGGAGGAAACTTGCCAAATGGTATCAGATATGGACAAATATGTGTTAATGACATTAGAAAATGTGCAAGAAAAAAGTTACCAGTCTGTGCATGTGTTTGGATACAATTGGTCATGATTAAGGTGAATAGGATTTAGGGATTAATACATTAAGAATTAATCATTTGGGTATTAACCCGTTGGATCCAGTTGTGTCATGGAAATCTCTGCTGAAAATATGGAGAGTGGGTTGCATTAATGGTCAATACCCTCAGCATGCAGTGCATAGGCAGTTACAAGACTTTATGCCTGCCCTTTACAAAATTATTTTCCGTAATTTTTTTTAGCTTTTTTGCCACTTTCCAATGTCCATATTTGTCTTTTGTTTTGCTTTATCCAGATGGCTAGATTGTTTTCCTTTCAGACTCCATATCATCTCTCTATGTAGTAAATAACTCAGTGCAAGAAAGAAAGGGAACTTTTCGTTATTTGTGTTACATCTTACTTTTTTCATAATTTTCAATTTTCGGTCATACAACCTGTGCCACCAGTCACAGTGGCCAGGAATACGATGCGGAGCATGGAAATGGCGTCCTCCCTGGAACCGGAACTTCCAGTCACGACTTATGTGCCTTACATTCCACATTTGTTTATCAATGGGAATAATACAAAAGTCCTCTTCTAATTGCCAAGTGAGTCTAATCACACTCCAAGAGGTTTGCGCATTCATAGTGAGTCTTTTCCGTCACCCTGGCCTTCGCTTATGACCGCAGGTTCACATCAACTGGCCTACAGCCATTTTGTCTGATGATGGCATGTTCACGTCCCCCCAACCCTTGACTCAGATTTTTCCATGACGGGACCATAACGTCACCTGGATTTTAGGAGTTAAGAGGAATTTCACTTACATGTATGCAGTTCACCCAGTCTCTTGTTAAACTTGATAAATGGTGTTAGCAGTCATTACCATTTCCAAACAAACTGTCTAAGCTTCCTCTATTAATGCCACTGAACCAATTTTTGTTGAAAGGAAGGCACTTAGATAAATATTATGCAATACGTTAAAAAGATTAAAAATAACATTTGAATAATGCAGAAAAATAGACAAATTGATAAACAGAATTTATATATTCATGAATTCTTTGTGTTTCCCTGATACACTTCAGTGGTTTCCATTAGCAGTCAAATACCACCATATGATAATATTAGAAATCACTACGCATATCAAGACAGTATTTGCACTAGACCTGTACCCTTTTTTAGTATTCTCCACATTTGGTGCATAGCTATATCCCCTTAGTAACTTCTAATGTAATGGCAAGGGACTTGTTCTAATGTCATTAGGCCTAAAACAAAGCCTTAGTGATACAAAATGTGAATGGAGACATATATTAACTCCTTTGATCCGGATGATGTGACCATCACGTCATGGGAAAATCTGTCTGTGGGCTGGGTGATGCGGACTTGCCATTGTGACCATTTCGGCTGAAGGCAGGGGTGATGGAAAAGAATCCCCACGAGTGCATAAACCTTTTGGAGTTCATTCATTTGGTGTTTATAAAGGGGCTCTTGGATTATTCCCATTATGTTCATAAAAGATTACTGTGTCCAGGGAGGACACCATTTCGATGCTTAGTATCCTATTCCTTCTCGCCATGACAGGTGGTGCAGGTTGTATTACAAAAAATTGAATATTATGAAGAAATTTTAAAATGATGCAAATAAAAAAAATTTAAATACTTTTATTTTTCTTGCACAAAGTTATGTAAGACCTAGAGGGATGATAGGGAGTCTGTGCAAAAAAAAATTATACCATCTGGACATTGGAAAATGGCAAAAAAACTAAAAATGCTTATGCATAAAAAGAGAAAATAACATAGCAAAAGGGAGGCATACATTCTTGTCACCACTCATAAGTATTCGCATGCACCCAGCATTCAAGCCGTACACCTGGCAGAGCAGCTGCTCATGTAAGCCTAATGCCTGTATTTTGGGCCAGGTAATTGCTGTGAAGCAACAGGATCCAAGGGGTTAAGTTGTTTCATAAATTTATGAAAGCTTTCATACAGCTTGCATCATGTATCTTTGGTTCACAAACTTTTAAAAATCAGAATATGTATGGTTCCAGCCTTGGTTTGGTGTTGCTCATGTTGGTGGTACTCAAACATTAACCAGACAGTGTTTAAGCTGAATATCCTAGATGACAATGATAACTTCAGATAAATTCATACGGCAAAACCACTCATAGTGATTCAGTTTGATTTGATTTGCAGTGTAACAGGAGAACTTTTATATGAGTTTTCAATTTTAAATCAAAATTATCTAAATGTATTTACAGATAGATACATAGAACATTCAACAATCTTTCTGTCACCCCCCAGAATTCGCATGGCACTCCCGGGATTTTCTTTAAATATGACGTCTCGGCCTTGAAAGTGGAGGTTGTAGAAAGGCATGAACCTTTCCTTGAATTCTTAACAAGATTATGTGGCATTGTTGGAGGAATATTTACATGCTCTGGTAAGTTTTATGATGCTTTGGTAATGAACTAGGTAAGTATATGTGTTAATAGTAATTATATTATTTTTGTCATCATGTTATCACCATCATCATCGTCATTATTATTTGTTGTTGTTATTTTTGCTATTGTTATTGTTACTATTATTATTATTATTGTTATCATTAATATCATTATTCTTATTGTTGATAATGATGGTGATGGTGGTTGGTGGTTGACTGTGGATGATGATGATTATGATAATAGTTAATATTATTATTAACTATTATTATAATTCTTATCAGTTGTTATCATCATCATTTATCATTAGCTTTGTAGAATTTAAGTAAACATTTGTATTTTCATTCATTATTCCAGGAAGTAATGTAGTAACTTCACATCAGCATAAATGTATAATTTTTCACTTTCTCATTACAGAACTATTGATGAGTAAAAAAAATTATGTTCATGTGATAGGTCATTGGCACTTAATGATAATTGATATGTGTTAGTTTAGGGTAGATTACTTGTCATTTATCATTACCTGTTCTAAGAATAGAAATATGTGTATGTTTGTAGAGGTGAGATGTATGTGTTTGCATATGCAAGGAATTGTGACGAGTATAGGTGTGTGGGTGCATTTCAGTATGCATGTGCATATGTTGGGTAGGCATGCATATCTGCATGCTGTAAATAACATCAGCATATTTGTGTTCAGCTATTCAGAATTGATATAATTTTTAATGTTTTGGCATAATGGTACAAAATTGTACAAAAAAAATTACTGTCAGGTTTTGGAGTAATTCAATTTTGTGCCAACCCAGTAAAATGACATTGTACTGTATTATAGGCTCTCATAACAAAATTTATGACAATAATCTTTACATTATATATGAATGAAACTTTTTCTCCAATCCAGATTTCTTTGTATAAAAAATAATCTCTTTAATCATCAGAGACAGTTGATAATTCACATTACAACTCTTTTATGAAAGGAAAAACATATTCTAAATTGCATGTTATTTTTATACATGTATATATTTTTTTTATGAATGAACATTAGCTAAGTAGAACTAGATACAAAGAGCTTATTTTTTAAGCTCTATTTCATTTCAGAAGAATTTTCTAATGAATATATCCTTTAGATCTTGTACCTGGTCCCAGCATGTACCATATATTCTCATTACCTCAGTTGCAAAAGATTTCAATTTTCTTTCCAGGTTTGGTAAGCCGTTTTGTAGGCTTCTTGGTAAACTGCTTCACATGCCGCTACTTCATGGCCCAAAAGACAGCTAGCACTGAAGAAGAAACATCAAAGCAGTCAGTTGTACCATCAGCATCCTTGCTTCAGGCAGTGAATCTGTCACCATCAGATGTTGGTCCCCAATTAACGTCAAAAACAATTATCGGTCATTACTACACCATCAGATGTGTTTCCTTCAATTAATTCATGTAGGGTTTTTTTTTTTTTTTTTTTTTTTTTTTTTAACCGACTATTTATCAAAGAAAAATGTTTTTTTATTTACTTTCCATAGCTAGTATGGAAATGTGACCAGTTTCCATTATCCCCATTCCATTTCAGATCACTATAGAATCTCTTTGGTTCATTCTTTAAGAATTAACATTTTCTTTATCTGAAATTAGCTTTATATTTGTATGGTAAAATGAGAAATTATTTTTTTTTTATTAGATTTATTTCTGTTTTTCTTTTAGCATGTAACCAGATTATCACTCTTTAGATTTGACTCTGTATCAGTGAAAGCAAAGACTTGGCAATTATAATATTGTCACTGTAATACTGTATAAACCAATTTGCAAGTGTAATATACAAAATAATTGTTAGGCAAAAAGTGCAATCTTCTGAGCTACTTGTTGTTTGCTAGTCCTTATGTAAAGTTACATATGATAGTTATATTACAGTCAGATGTTAATTTTTTTCATTTCATGCTTGCCTTTATGATTTTGATACAAGTATGGATTTTATTATAAGTATGAATTCTTACAATTCATTTTAGAAAAGTATATGCAAGGTATGAAAATATTAGATAGTACATAGGTGATTTCCGATGTTGGTTCTATGATTATTTTATTAATCATTATGTTTAGTATACTCATATAAATTATTTATATTTCTTGCATAAGTTGTCGTTTTCTGTGAGCTGTATTATATCATGTATTTTTTTCTTTTATTCTTTTATGGAAATTGAATAGCATATTTATCAGTTTTAGATTAAACATTAATTTGTGACACTTTTCTGGTAAGTAATATTTCCTTTAAAAAGACATGGTTTTGAGACTGCCATACTAATATAGTATTGCAGTACAAAGTTATTGTATTTCTAAACACCCTTTTTTGAATTAGAAAAAATGTTTAGACAATAATTTTTTGTTATCATGAGCTTGATTTCAAGACCAGATAGTGCCTTTGATTAGACTGCTGAAGAGGCTTCCTTGCTTATGTGAATTTTAATTATTAAATGGATAGAGGAACCAAAGTTTCAGGATCATGTTTAACCCCTAAAGGATGGCAAAATTTAAAACTGTGTGCCCACAGGGCAGCAAAAAAATTCTATATTCGGTCTGTTTTAATATAGTTTTTTTTTTTTTTTTTTTTTTTTTTTTTTTTGGGGGGGGGTATTCAGTCTGCACATATATCTGAAGATAAAAAAATTTAAATGTCCTTTAGCAGTTAAGCGGCTATATATAAGATTGAAAGAAATATAATTCAAGGTTGGATATTTTTTTCTTTCTTTTTAATTACAAGAGGGTTGTGTCAGCTAGAAAGAAAGAAAATGTTTGCCAGACTATTTTTATAATTTTGCATTTATAGTAATAAGGATTTAGATCTTATGTAAATTGTGTTTCAGATTTGTGTTTTTAAAGTTACTACAAATTGAATTTCTTTGAGCTGACTTGTATTTTCACTTGAAAAAAAAAGTGACCAAAGTGTAAAATAAAAGAACATTGGAATTCTTCAAATGTTGATTTATTTGAAGTGTACATAATAAGTTATAAGTCACAAACATGAACTTTCTCGTACCTTCAAGATACAATAATAGAATAGCAAAGATCCTCAGGGCGTCCGGATACAAATAATAATCTGGACGTCACTGGGTAACACTTAGATAATAGAAAGTGATGCAGTCTAAAAATAGAAATTCCAACAGATATGAAATGTTACACAGAAAAAGTTTTTTTTTTTTATTATGTACAGGACACATTGAAACTGGAAATTTGCATCAATGCATAAAATTCTGTATAATATTCATATGACAAATGTGCAGTAGGACATTCCATGCAGTAAACAAGAAGTGGGATTTTCTCTTGTAAAGCCCAGTATCTTGGTAAGTACAGAGTTCTATTTTCTAACTTCCAGCATTTTAACACCTTTCATTCTGTCCTGCCAGCTTCTACATCCATTCTGTGCATACCAAACATTTGTCTTTTTTACTCTCTTTTTAACTACCAAAAGCTAAGTGATGTATGAATTTAGCTGTATCCAAACAGCTTCCCTGCAGTAACTTGGAAAAATTCTGAAACTGTCACCATGGACATTTCAAAATGTGAAATTCTGAAATCAAAATCTATGGATTTAGGGAATATAAAGACCAGTAATATAAATTACATATTTTTCCTTATTGATTTATCTACGGATTTCATTACTTAGACCATACAAAACAGGCAAATGATTCATTCATTATTATTAAAAGTTTTTTTTTTCCTGAAATCACAAAAGTCTCTTCTTCTCATCATGTTTTCCCCTATCCTCAGGCCATAATCATTCAGGTTAACTTGGTGAAGCTTTGGTCATTGGCAGCAACTCTACTACTTATACATTTTGGAATTTATATATTTTAAAACTCAATGCAAGACCTTGTTTCAAGGGATTGTAATAAACTGTATTCAGTAAATTTATATCTGTATATTAATAGAAACCCTGTTATGTATTGCAAAATTTGTTCATTAAACACTAATTTAATGGTGCAATGTATTAATATTGTCATCAAGCATTGAAACAACAAGTTTTATCTTGAAAATAGGTTGCATCATGAATATCAATTTGGTTGGATAGTAAAAATATTTTGTTTTCATCAATTAATTCTTGTTTATCATCCAGATAAACATGTTATTCCTACATGGTATTCAGCTAATTGGTATGTACATACTTTACAGTTGCAGAAGAGAGAGAGAAAGAGAGAGTCTTATAAAAAGAGCCTGTAATAAGGTATGCAGCATACTCAGCCATTACTACTACAGAAATCATTCACATTTTGCATAGAATAACACATTGTAACTCATGAATGGAAAGTTGACAAAAGTAACTCTGTACTATATAAGTAGGCTCATTATATAGGTACAGCAAATCACCTGAACTGAACCACCAGCTTTAGGTATATAACAGTGTTTTTCTGCCTTTTTATTCCCTGTCACAAGTATTGCTGTGTGGAAATCCTCCTTGGAGATTAATCATTCACAATGAGCTTTTTTCTAAAAAGGTTTCCTTGCCAAAGGTACAGGATGTTTGGCAACACAAAGACAGCCTGGGAGAAAGTAATTTTTGTGGGTGTAATGGAGCTCAATCTTTATTAATTATTCATTTGTGCTAAAGTTTAAAAGTTCACCAATGTAAAATTAAGTATTTTAACATCATCAGAAAAAAAAAATGTGTATTTTTTCATATTGAGCATTAAACTATAAAAGCACTTGCTGAAAATAACAATTCCTTTATCTCTCTGAAACAAACTATACCATTGCGGAAACACAATCTGATTCAAAGAAGGATATCCACTTGACCAGAATTAATTAACAGTCAGTGGTAGACACCTGCCGCTCTGGAAGAAGCTCAAGATCATTATATTAATTTTTGGGGGGGATGGGAGGATTAACTCATGACATCTATACTTTAGCATCTGACGTGTGTCAACCACTGAAGATAGCAATTACAAGACAGAAAATAACATTGTATACAAACCAATTATCATATTTTAAATTGATTAAAGCCATTCACTAACCCTATTTCTACAATGGAAATCCAAATAAAGAAAACTGATTCATTATGTAAGAAAAAAGATGTCTAACATGTGTATCAGTTATAAATGCATTAATAATAGACATGTGATTTATAAATTGACAAGTTGCATATATGAACTACACTGTAACACAGAGGACACAACATGTAGAACAATCAACTGTTCAACTTACTTTCTACGACCAAATTTATTGCCTTTCCAAAGACATTTGAAGTCTTTTATTTAAATTCATCAGATGATTCAATTTAATAGGTTACAATGAACAGAAGGTAATCTGAAATTTGATTTTGAAATAAAAACAATCAAACTGTATAATAACAAGAAAAAAATTAGTACACAGACACTTGATGCTAAACTCCTTTAAAATGTTCATTTTTTGCATAGAAGTGAAATCAGTTCACAGGGAGGCTTGTTTTACTTTGCATGCTGGGAACTGTATCTTGTACCACGAGACAAACACTGAGCCAAACCTGCAGTCCACTCTCTGCCTCCTCACACTGGCATATCAGTGAGGCAAATATTTTGTTTAATATGAATAGTTAGTTAGGATACTTCAAGTCTTAAACATCTTTAAAAGGTAACAGCTCATGCAAAAGACTTCAACATTATGTATGATTTTACCAAATACCAATAGTACATCATTATGATTACTGCCATGATGTGCCATCAATGGGAACTTGTCCCAGAGTAGTCTACAGTTTATGGAACACTGAAATATTGACCTAAATATGCTAGTCAGAAAATCACAGAATAATTAACGGAGACTTTGCACAGCCAGTCTCTATGGCATTGTATTAATATTAAGCAAAACAGTGTACTTATATATCACTGAGTTATATTACTGTATTTAAATCTAGCACAACATCAAAAATGCAATGGTTCAAGTAATAAGAAATTATGCATTAATAACATTCTAGAAATAAACGTCTTGTCAGTGAACAGCACTTTTCAGATGCTTCAACGATGTTTAACACTCACAGCCCAGCCTCACATGACAGGTTAGTCTGGATGAACCAATAACTAATTCTTGTCATTTCCTCCCGTACATGGATGCTCTTATTTTTTAACCCCAGTACACCTTATGGAATAGGCCTTTCAGAAACTGTTATTGACCCGGATGGCAGCAGAACAGCCCAAAGACATTGAGTTGTGACCTAGCATGAACCAGAATTCAAACCAAGTCCCAATGCATTAAACAACAGTCAAAAAGCTCTGATCTATATCTAAAAAAAAGAAAAAAAAATGTTGCTTATGTATACAAACCCCCATAAAAATGAAAACAAACGTAGTACTTCTACCTCCTTGTACAACGGGACCTAATCTTTACATAAAAGCCCCTATGAATAAAACAACTTATAGCAACTGGATGTTTTTTTATATTAGCACAAATTGTGTAATCACATAAATTAAAAATAAAAGCGATCTGCAGCAATTCTATCAGATCATAAGATTGTCAAAAAGACTGGGAGAGGCTACCAAACATCACAGATGACAGTAGTTATTAGTTACCTTCATATAAAACTATTAAATTTACTGTGCACATATGCAAGATTTTCCATCAAGCCAATGAAAACTAATGTTTTCTATTTTTCTTGCTGGAATATTTACTTGATTTACTTTATTAGAACATAAAGTAAAGAATATCACTGTTTAGCTACATCCTGAAATCTAATGCAAGAAAATTAATCAACCATTATTCTCCTGTTGGTGGGGTAATAAATATAAATTGTAGCAGACTTTAGCCAAGACAAAAACACTTCAAAACTCTTACATACTGATTCAAAAATAACATTAAACTCTCTAAGTGCTCAGTCTACACTATTTCAGTTTTCTGGCAGTGTAAGACATCTTAGCCAAAACATCTCTTCAAAACATAACCAACAATTGCCTTGCCTGCCTTTTCTAGCACCGCTGCATGCATTATCTTCATTACTCACTTTTAACTGTCTTTGTCCCCTTGCAAAATCTCTTCTCTATTTATGCATTACTAGAGCAGCTACGCTTTATTGTGTTGGCACAGCTTTCTCTCACTTAAAACAGCAGATACACATTTTATTGCATTAAAGGATACAGTTTTGCATCCTGTTATATGTATTCAATAAATGATCTTAGGAAGTTAATGAGAAACCAACAACAACGAGGTAAGTTTTTAGAGAGTTTTTAAGTTTATCATGTTCTTTACATTTATATCATTTTAGAAATTGTAACAAGCACATCATGATGATGATTTCCTTCTGCACTGCACCAAGTGATAGGCCGTCACATCATCTGTCCTCCCCGCAGACCTCCAGTTCATCTACTGCTGGGAGTGTGATATCAAGCGACCTCTTCCTGGTAGATGGGAAGAACAAATTCACAGTATTAGCATGTATATCTATAGACAGATTATGGAGTCATTCCTTACTTTCTGCAGTAGATAATCACCACTGGGATACCTTTCTTATGAATTCCACTTTTCCTTCAATTACAGGTTTCAAGAATTATCTGTTTTCCTTATGGTGATTTGCAGTGTATCAAAATTGTTAAATCAAATATGCAACATTATATTTCATGAAAAAAAATATATACATATCTCAGAATTAAACAAAATAAACTGAAATATCAATGCAGCTTTAAACAACAGGTTTTGTACACAAGGTAACATACATGAAAAACAAAAACCTGCAAAGACAGACTTATTAGACAGCATATAGTATTCTAAATACTTACAGAAACAAATTAATACCTCTATACATGCTACATATAGAATACAGTATGCTGGTAAAAGTCCTGTGTCTGCAAGTTTAAAACTACATACAAACATTTGTGGTAAAACATTCACATAACACAAGTAATCATCAATCAAAGAAGCAACAAAACTTAAAAAGCACAGTAATAAAACCTCATAAAGGAGTCAACTTTGATGAAAGGCGCTAGAATTCTTTTTGCATAGTTTCTTTGAAAAAAGGCTATAATTTTACTTTCTCATATGATTGGAGATTTGTATAGAAATTCATGAGTAACTTTAACAAAAATCATTATATCTTCATCACTAGACATTTGAAACATACATTATTTGAAACAATGATGCCTACTGACTAGAAAGTGAGGCTCTAGTAACAGATTATTTAGTAGTCTGATACATATTCCTCAAACAATGAAGCAGTCAGCTGCTGTGGTGCCTCAAATAATAGTCAGTTGCTTGCATTTGATACAAATATTGTCCATGCCTCAGATATCTCTAGAAAGGTAGTCTCTCTGAAATAAGTGTGTTAAAAAACATCAAGCCTAATTTCAAGAACATTAACATTTACAAGTAAATCACAAGACCAAAAGCAGAAGCTTTTTAAAGCAATTACTCCACATTTTTTTGACTGACACTATTTTCACACTAATAGCAAAAGAAATGCTATTTCTGCATTTCATATTATTATTTATCCATGTAATCAGCAAAGCATTTAAGAATGTATCATATTTTTCTCCAGCCTTTACATACCATCCTTTGATACTTGAGCAGTAAAATGACAATACTTATCATCTTGAACTATGGCCCAATATTCCTCTTTAGCATACTTGATGGGTTTTAGTAAATTTACAAAAACTAATTTTCTGGGAACTAAATTTTTACCATCTAAATGAGAGTGCTTACTAATCACAAGGTAGATAATGGCAATACTTTTCTACAAATCTATATCCTGAACATGAATGCTCATATGTCAATGAGAACAACTGATATATCATTCCATGCCTTTACTGAGGTTATATCTAAAAAGAAAAATATCAACAATAGGTAGACTTTTTTGACTTCATATTGTGTGTGTATCAAGGAAAGTGCATTTAATAAGATTCTCGAAGCCAAACAAATAATAAAAATCAGCAACTGATGATGAAATACAAAATGAAAGTCTCTAAAATCACTAAATTGGGCAAACGTTCAGGCTTCAAATGCACGTTCAGCTTTGCTTACTTCCAGCAATCATCCTGTTCTACTGATGGGTGAGCAAGAGACACAATAATACCATAGCTTTCGATAACTTGTAAATTCTTCAATTGGAAATATACTTGAATCAATTATCAGAGCATAGATAACTAGCCACCATGGTAAACTACAGCCCACAAGCTGATAGAACTTATAATTACATGGTTATTCCTCAAGGACATGACTGCCTGGAGATGTATCTTAGATTTCCCAGCCTTAGCATACTGTTTGCAAGTCATCTTGACCGGCACAAAAAAAGCTGATTAATATTTGCTTTTAAGTTTATCATATTAGCATTACTAATAAGCTGTATCATGGATAGAATTTAAAGTTGCCATAAAATAGTTCAAGTATTATATGCATTTATCTATATGTATGCACATCTCTGTGTGTGTACCTATGTATGTTAGTGTGCCTTATGGTTTGAACAGTGGGAGAGGGAGGGAAGGGAGGGAGGGAGGAGAGGGAAAGGAGGGAGGGGAGGGAGGAAGGAAGGGAGAGGAAGGAAGGAAGGAAGGAAGGAAGGAAGGAAGGAAGGAAGGAAGGGAGGGAGGGAGGGAGGGAGGGGAAGGAAGGAAGGAAGGAAGGAAGGAAGGAAGGAAGGAAGGAAGGAAGGAAGGAGGAAGGAAGGAAGGAAGGAAGGAAGGGGAGGGAGGGGAGGGGGAGGGAGAGGGGAGGAGAGAGAGAGAGAGAGAGAGAGAGAGAGAGAGAGAGAGAGAGAGAGAGAGAGAGAGAGAGAGAGAGAGATGTAGTGTATATTGCACAAATGTGCATATGCAATATATAAATATTATGAACATGGTCAGGTTCTTTAACAGGAAATGTGTCTGTTACTCACTCATGAACTCAGTGCTGTGACTCATATATTGTCCTATGGTGCTGTTAAAATAATTCATATTATTTCTCACGACTTTATGTCTACTATGGACATCATAAAAACAAATTTAATTATTTTTCCTCATATATATGACATTGTAATTCTAGTCGTTCATATGATTTCACAAAGCAATTTCAATTTCAAAACTACAAAGGTTCTTATATTTTTTTCTAATCTACTACACCGTGTGAATGCATTATTCCCATTTTTTCTCATAAAAATATCTTTCATTTCAAAATGTGGTGATACAAAAACTGGCCGTAAAAAGCACCAATAGGAACTGTGAAATGAGCCTTTTTTGCCGGCACTAAAAAATCTGATGTAGCAATAATCCTCCTCTGCAATTCTATTTTCTTAGAACTTTGATGTAAAAACCTTCTGACTGATGAGAGTCCAAGCTCTCTCTCAACACTTGACAGCTGAACACCTTACAAAGAGAACATTTTCAAGTAGAGTAAAAATAATAATCTTTTACATGGAATACTTAACTTCAGTTCTGAAAAAAATAAAACGAATGAAACGTCCAACCAATTTCAGTCATGAAAATTTTGAAAAACATGAAGGACCTCCATCATGAAAATGTTCTTCCCTTCACCCACATAATAAAGACATGATAAACGTTACTGGGTCAGTACTACACCACGGAGAGCAACAAAGGCGTGCAGTGCAGGGCGCAGAGTGGAGGAGGAGAGACGAGAGCTGCCGTTTACCACCACCACAACCCATACCTGTCCAAGTAGAACTCATACGAACCAGGCGCCGAGTGCGACCGTCCTGCACGCGCA